TTCTGAAAAACCCTTAAGAAGAAAGAAAAGAAATTGACATTGGACAGATTCTTTAATGCCCCATAAATGGAAAAAAACATGACTTTTTTCAACCGTGTGTGTGTCTGTCTGCAAGACAAGACAGACAAACACACACACACACGGTTGGATATTCTATCAGATAAATATGGTCTTCCATGTTATTTCCTTCGACAGGCTTTCCAATCAAATATAATTAGAAGTGATGTTTAGATAAAACTTCTGGTCAATTAAGTTCCTCTTCGTTAATTGAAAGTTAAATAAAATTAATTACCAAAACTTCTGTTATTCACAATAATGTCGATGGAAGAGATAAAAAAAAACTTTTAAAAGCTTTTTAAACGTTCACTAAATTTTAACAGGCATATTATATTTTGCTACGTAATTTTTGAGGCCCCTCCAGACCACAGTCTCTATTAACAATACATACACTAGGCGCCCGCTTATTGGTAATCCGCTACTGTCTTTCCTTTCAGTAGAATTAGTTTTTTTTTAAAATTATTTTTTGAATATTAATTCATTGCTTTATCAATAGATTATTAACGCTCTAGATACTTAGAGTTTCGGATTTTCTTCATGTGTCTAACACCTAAGTAGAAGCCAGTTTCCCATAGAAAACCCTCCGGAAAGGTATACCCCTTTGGCAGCGTTGCCTTCACGTATTTCACGAATCCAATATAAACAAATATTTACAAATGTTAAAAAATATTTATTTATTTATTTATTTTCTCCTATGTTTACAGCTCCAAATTGGTGTTAGGTGTTCATCCGTTTTACTTGTTGACAACAATGGCCGAAACGTAACTTTTGCAATATTCATTTTCGATAAAGCGTCATTTACATTTAAATTTCATTAAATTTACGACCCAAAGCACGTTATATATATATTTAATTTGTATATGCAGTACGTACGTACAGTAAGTATTCTTTAAAGCAGATAAACAATAACCATATCAATATTGTATAACGAATCGATATAAATGTACTGTACCTATACGTAATGTGGGTTAAGGTTAATTTTGTATTTAATCGAAAGAAAATATACAATTTGTCATACATAAATCAATAATTGACCTAGTATAAGTTTATACAGGACATTGCTGACACGAATAATGCAACCAAACAAAAAATAGCACATCAATTAGATCACACCGGTGAGAATTATTCGAGTCCATTATTTCTAATAATTTTGGTAAGTTTTTAATACATTTTCCACCGAAAAGTCAAATTATCAATTATTAGGAACGACGTAAACAATGCACAAGTGAGGCAATAACAGTTGAAACAATGATAAATAAATTAATTCGGATTTATGTCTGCTTATTTAAGCGATGCAGTGTTTTAGACAGGTAAAAAACTTTATAAATAATCTTCTAAAATATAAACGTAAAGAATTTTAGATGTATAAATAATATATAAAAACAATCTAGTGATTAATTTTAAAATGCCATTTAAAGATTACCTGTAATGACCTTATATACAGGACTACAAAGAGATAGGACAGACCCAATACAGCTTCCTCTACTACGTATCAATGAAATAATCATGTAGTATTTAAATAACAAAACAAAGCTTTAAAAATTTGTCAAAATTTATAAAGATTTTGATTTTATGTACAGTAGAGCGTCGTTTATCCGAATCAATTAGGGACTGGGGTTGTTCGGATAACTTATTTTTCGGATAACCGATTACACACGAAAAAATATACAGTAGAGCGTCGTTTATCCGAATCAATTGGGGACTGGGGTGGTTCGGATAAGTTATTTTTCGGATAACGAATCATGTACGAAAAAAATATATTAATTTATCTCATGTTAAAATTTTTCTCCATTGCGTGTCGCTTCGCGTTGAATTTTCGTCGATGTTAAGCCTAACGAAGACTATTGTATCGTTAAANATGTTTAAAGTTTAAACTTATAAAACAAATAAAAATTTAATTTCTCTTCTTAACATATTCAATACTTTCTTTTTTATTTAAAGTTTAAACTTTATACAGTATTATACATTATATTATACTTATAATATGTATCGATGAAAGGAATAATTTGAATTGTAAAATTTTTTTAATATTCAGTTTGTCATGTAATAAATAATAAATATATAACAGAAATTTATTAGGTTTTATTACTAGCATTGTACGTAACATTCTAACAAAAATACCAAAATGTAAAATTGCCCGATTATCGAAACCGATTAATCGGGGAAATGGCCGATACTGATTAATCGGCTAAGTGGCCGATACGACCGATTACCGATTACTTACCAATTAATCGGTGCATCCTTAGTGTATATGTATGTGTGTGTAATGTATACACATGTATAATGCAACATATTCATAATAGCAAACATGTAAATACAATAATTATTTAAGAATTAAAATTTTTAGTGCTTGCCAATATGTTTATTTGTAATATTAAAATATTTTTATCATTAAGTAACTTAATGTTGATAATGATATTTTATTCCTATTCATTTTATTAAAACAAGAAAAAGAAATTACATAAGAAACAAGAATAAAATGCCTTATCTAAGTATGAACAGGAATTAATTATATATATATATATATTTTTTTTTTTAATGATTATATAAACATCTCTCAAAATCTGATACATTAGTATAAAGTCACACCAATTGCTGTATAAGATCAGATTATTTGCCAGTGATTATAATTAATTAATAAATAAAATAATAAAAATTATAATCGCTGGAAAATAGTTCAATCTTATATGGCAGTTGGTGTAGCTTTATATTTAATAATTATAATATTAAGTAATTAAATAAAATAATTAGCATGTTATATTTTAATATAATGTGATGATTATTTTTTCAATACCAATTAGTAATAGATTAGTAAATATTGCCAATTAGTAATAGATCAAAAACGTTTGTTTATTAAATTTATTTACTAGAATTTTAAGGTTTTTAAAGGTGTGTAATTAATGTTTATACATATCTAATTTGTGTAGAAGTTAAAAATAATAAGTTTTTTATACATTCTATTTTTTTTAATTAATTCTATTAATATTCTATTTTAAAAATCTATAGGGTAAATTCACATAAGAGTATGCAGTTTTGCAATTTTGCCTTATTAATACTCTGAGGAGAAATTTGGATTTGATACTACCAATTGATTTTTTAAATGCTTGTAATGAAATAATGTACAATACAAGTATGCTAGCATCAGAAAGAAATGTTTTGAAAAGACTGGAAAGTAAAAACGAAAGAAGTATGCATTATCAGGATCTCTAGGAATATGTGTGTACTCTTGAAAACCCAATTTCTGCATACTCTTGAATGCATCTGTCTTAATTCAGAAAAAATTCATAGTATACTCCATGCATATTCCAGCATATCCTGCCAAAACCCTGACAAGGCAGCATAACTTTCTATCAACAAACAAAAATCATTATTTTCACCCTGAAGATCTCAGAACTCATTATTATTTCAAACCATAAAATATGTCTAATAATCCTAACTTCATTCAAATCAATTATTGAACCTTCAGTTTGTGCCACCTTAGACAGGTGCGCTCACTGTCTTTAGCAATGACTGTGGAGAAATTTGAAATATGCAGATCAGGGGCTACAGGCAAATGTTTGAAATATAAAGACGCCACAAATTTACCAACAGCATGGAAATATATGATTGATAATAACCCAGTATGTAAGTTTGCCGACGTTAAAGGGGGGGAATAGTTTATCTCACGTCAAAATGAGCCTAAGGGAAACCACGTATGTGGGCGGTGGCGAAGGGGCAAATGAAGAACAAGTGTTTTACAAAAGAAAACCCGTTTATTTGTTCAAATTCATGCTTACATTGATATTGGACAATTCCAAATCTCGGTGCTCCTGTGAACGGCGAAAGTTCGGGTGATCGGTCACAGCCCGGGCAGACGAGAAGGATCACTGGACGATACAGATGTTCGTTGTTAAGGTGTGGCATCCTGGGTGATCGGCAATTGCACAACACAATCTAAATCACAACGGTAGGCTTAATCCAGAGGAGACTCGTCTTCGACCTTGAAGTTCTAATTTTTATAGTTTTTCCCCCACTATTCGCATTTCGGATTGGTCCCTCGTCCCATTCCTCGCTTCCCGATTGGTTTCTCCTTTGTCTCCAGGTGCAAGACAAAACTTTTTTGGGTCGTGGGAAAGGTCCGATTTGAGGTGTCCATCTGATACCTCTTTGTCAACTCTGCTCGGTGACTGTTTATAAAACAATAACACCTGCACTCATAACTCAGGCCGTTGTTTACCATTTTTGACATCTAAGAATTTAACGATCATTTTCACCTTTCATCTATCAAAAATTCCCCTATTTTTTTGTTCGAAAAGGTTTATCTCGGCCAACATTTTATAGACATGTGAGTCAAAGATCTACCTGTTTATGAGCGCTCGTGTTAGAGTTTGTCTTCCACTAAGACCTTGACAGATAGTTTGACACATACTCCTTGTCTATATAATGATGTGTATTGTATGGATATATATTTTTATTGCATTTTATGTTAATTTACTTTATTTATTTTGTTTTATTTTATGTTATTTACTTTACTTGGATCCATGTATTTAATTAGTTCTGTTTATCATTTATATTTTTGTATTTAAACGAATTGTTCAAACAGACATAGAAATTTGAATTTTGTTTCGCATAAACATTCGAACCTGGAACCGGTGCAAAGAAGCATTCCAAGAATTTTCAAAAATACCTGATGACGACCTGTGGAGCAGGTAGAAATCGTTTGTAGGATAATAAATATTACTTCTCAGAAGCATAAGGTGTTTGAATCAGAATATTCAAAGAATCTGAGTGTTTATTGAAATTAAAAAAAAAATAAAATTTGTACCATTAGATGTTATATACTCTTATATAATACCCTAATCAAAATAAAAAAAGTAATAAATTATTTTTGTTTTATTTATATTTATATAAATTTTATATAAAATTTATATGAAATATTTTGAAAATTTTATTTTCATTTTAAGGTTCTTTATCCATGTGAAGTAGAATTTTCAAGAAGCCAAAGACTTTCAGAAGATGAAATCAAAATGACAGCAAGTCTTAGTTGTGTTGATTTACATTTATCAACTCCTATCATTTATACTATTCGAAATGTGGTGGAAGAATTGCTCTCTAATATTCAGGTATTTAAAAATAACATTCATTTAAACAGGAATATATAGTGTAATTTTAACAATAATAAGATAATATACAAGTACAGTACAATAAAACATAACAATTACAGTAGTACTACTCTGGAAGCCATTAATATTTTTTAATATTTTGCAATGTATTAATGAATTAAGTTGGCTGTTAAGTCTAAAAAAGTTTCTAATCTTAATATGAGGGTTGTGACTAATGATTTCAGTAAGATTTATTTTGATATCAGTGAGAAGTCAATGTTAGGATCAGGCACAAATGGTTGCTATGGAAATGACTTCAATAATTAATAAATTGATGTCCCTTCATTAAAGGTCAATATGATATGAAGTTTCAGATGGAAAGTGACAACCTTTTTATGAAAAATTTAAAATGTTAAAACAAAGTTAAAATTTTCTGTTACAAAATTATTTCTTTACATTTTAACCAACATATGCACCAAGTTAGTCTATTTTACATCTCATTATTTCTGTGCTGAAAGAGAAATTTCTTATTAAGTATTACCTCAGATTTTACTTTAATAATAATAGACATTTTTTTTATTCCTTTTTTTACATGGAGTTTTCTTTTTTGTTTGTTATGCAGGTTGAGAATCCTTTATCCAAAATGTTTGGGACTGGAAGTATTTTGGATTTTGGAATATTTGTATATTTTTACTGATTTTATTTGATCTATATTAGTCTGATTTTACTTCTTTCTTATGCCACTTATTTAGAGATTTTTATTAATTTTCAATAAAACAAACAATTTTTTACACATGTATGTGAATAGATTTTTTTAAACATACCTTCCATAAACGAGTGAAAATATTTAAAAAATATTTTACATCAATATGTTAAAATAATTTTATATATATTCATAACATAGAGATGTTAATTGATCTGTTTGAAAGGAAGCTTATACTTACAGATTTTGGAGGTTTTCAGTTATTTCAATTTTGGATAAAGGAAAATTTCTCAAGATATTATCATAATGGGATTCTTTTATATTCATTAATCCTGAATAACTGTATAGTTCTTTACAATAACTGTATCTAGTCTCCTCTCTTACTGGACAAGCAACAGATAGCAATATCGAAACTTGTATGGTTAAATTTTGACTTACACAAAATATTTTCTAACTAGCTGCAAGGATCTGCTTCGCTGGGTTTTTATTTCTATGTAATATAGTTTTTTTTTATATATATAAAAGACTGTTTTTCTAAGTAATCTAGAGTCTAGCTGCAAGGACCCGCTTCGCTGGGCAAAAAGTAACGATAGTGAAGATTAAGATAATTACATTATTTATTAATACTCAAGTATTAATAAATAATGTAATTATCATTACTTAACATTACTCAAGTATTTATTAATAATAAATACTTGAGTAATGTAATAACTCAAGTATTTATTAATAAAAAAAAAAGTAAAAAGATCTGAATACCAATATTTTCAAAACATAATTTAAAATATTTACATGTCTTTAATAAATCAAGATCTTAACATATGAACATACTACAGATACATATTCAATTATAACAAGAAGGAAAAAGATTTGCAATTTCTTCATTAAATGCCACATCTTTGGCTGTCAAACCATTGTCATCCGTGATCATTTTAGCTCCATTCTCCAAAAGTAACTGGACGATATCAGGATATCCACAAAAACTTGCTAAATGTAAAGCAGTCTGCCCATAATCATCTTGAGCATTGATATCAATATTATTCTGAAGCAAAACTTCAGCAATAGAAGCAAATCCTAAATCACATGCCCAATGCAATAATGTCATTTTCAATTCATCTCGTTGATTTATTGGGAAATCTTTGGTCCGAATGATCTGTTCTAAGCTGTCTAAGTTATTTGTCCTCACCCAGTCAAAAACATCTTTTGATCTAATAGTGATGTTTTTATCCTCATTCCAATTTGGATCATTTGATTTTACTGCATCAATGTATTCTTTCATTGCTGTTTCTTGTGACATGTCACCTAAACCTTTCCAAGCAGCCCATTTCTGTGTCTCTTCGAAAGTATCTGGTTTAGGAATGTTACACGCACCTTGTGTTGCCTNAAAGACTTTCAGAAGATGAAATCAAAATGACAGCAAGTCTTAGTTGTGTTGATTTACATTTATCAACTCCTATCATTTATACTATTCGAAATGTGGTGGAAGAATTGCTCTCTAATATTCAGGTATTTAAAAATAACATTCATTTAAACAGGAATATATAGTGTAATTTTAACAATAATAAGATAATATACAAGTACAGTACAATAAAACATAACAATTACAGTAGTACTACTCTGGAAGCCATTAATATTTTTTAATATTTTGCAATGTATTAATGAATTAAGTTGGCTGTTAAGTCTAAAAAAGTTTCTAATCTTAATATGAGGGTTGTGACTAATGATTTCAGTAAGATTTATTTTGATATCAGTGAGAAGTCAATGTTAGGATCAGGCACAAATGGTTGCTATGGAAATGACTTCAATAATTAATAAATTGATGTCCCTTCATTAAAGGTCAATATGATATGAAGTTTCAGATGGAAAGTGACAACCTTTTTATGAAAAATTTAAAATGTTAAAACAAAGTTAAAATTTTCTGTTACAAAATTATTTCTTTACATTTTAACCAACATATGCACCAAGTTAGTCTATTTTACATCTCATTATTTCTGTGCTGAAAGAGAAATTTCTTATTAAGTATTACCTCAGATTTTACTTTAATAATAATAGACATTTTTTTTATTCCTTTTTTTACATGGAGTTTTCTTTTTTGTTTGTTATGCAGGTTGAGAATCCTTTATCCAAAATGTTTGGGACTGGAAGTATTTTGGATTTTGGAATATTTGTATATTTTTACTGATTTTATTTGATCTATATTAGTCTGATTTTACTTCTTTCTTATGCCACTTATTTAGAGATTTTTATTAATTTTCAATAAAACAAACAATTTTTTACACATGTATGTGAATAGATTTTTTTAAACATACCTTCCATAAACGAGTGAAAATATTATTAGACTTTACACACAAAAAAAAAACTAAACAGTAGTCTAAATAAAGTCGCTAATTTAAGACACGAAACTTGCAACTTATACATGAACTTGTACAAAATTTTAAGTTTTTATTCTTATTTAACTTTCTCAATAAGGTTTTACAATTTACTGTTGCAAATAGGAAGACTGTAGGCTTAATGTATGTTCACTCCTATCTTTATAGATTAGCATATCCACATAAATACATATTTTTACATATGGAATACATATATCTTATATACATAGGCCTATTTTCAAATGTACTATATAGTACAGCACATTTATCTAATATACGCACACGGTTTTTAAGGTAAATTTTAAGTAAACATTCATATAATGAATCTTATATAAAAAGAAAAATAGACCTTCTATTTTATTTAATTTCATATAAAAACCTATTGCGATATTATATTAAAATTATTATATGTAAAACATTATATTTCGCTACATCTTCTGGTCGTATTTTGTATACAGAAATGCAAGGTTTTTAAAATGATTTAGTTGCATTAAAAGAACATCTTTATAGTAAGACCGTTGGCAATCCTTTAAACATTCATACTTAAATCATATTAAAACATTCGTAGTGGTGTTATATTGTAGCCTACATAGTAAAAAATAGTCATTGTATAGCCTAATACAATTTTCGATACTGTATTACGGCTATTTTTATTCCAAAATGTATAGAAGAATTTATTAAAACTAGACGATGTAATAAAATAAAACATAAAAATTGAATAAAAATAAATTAATTTTCAAGAAATTCTTATTAAATCACTGATAAAGCATAAGTAGAAATTTCTTTTAAAAACTTAACTACTTAAATCGAATCGTAATTGAAGCATTTTTTTATTATATATATATATATAATGATTTACTTTGAATTACCGATACCCAAAAATAATTTTTTTTTTCCTCGTTTTTCCACCGCTACTAAGTTCAACTAATTATCTTGGATGAAAGATAATTCCATTAATGTGCTACACGCCGGAAATCAATTCATTTTTCTTTTAATTTCGTTTCTTAGATTTTTTGGCACTTAACCTAATAATAATGCTTTTAAAGCATTAATTAGGTCTAATTCAACATTTTCGATTTAAACGAATTCATTTCGAAGAAATCTTTTAAATAAAACACATTCGGGAAGAGATTACAAATATAATTTTTTTTACGTTAATTTAATTTAACAATTAAATTAAAAAAAAGATATTTAAAAATGGACGATTTTTCTAAACTTGGGAGGAAAAAAAATATGTATTTAAAAATAAGTTTTCTTTTTTATTTTAATTTATCAATTATTATAAAGTTCTTAATCTATAATTTAGATTAATTATACAATTATAACGCGTTAAAAAAATGCTGAAAACGTATTAAATTAAACGAATTGTAACATTAAAAATGTGTTTAATATTTTCTATTTTGTAGAAAAATCCTTTTAAAGTAGATAAATAAAAGAATTAGCCTAATCGTGTTAAGTTCTTTAAAAGTTTAATTAAATTTCTTTCAGAATAAATTACGAAGGTATCGAATTATTTTGATAAGAAGAAAATTCGATTTAATAAAATAAAAGTATAAAAATAATCGTATAAAATTAAAATTANTCCCCATATCTCCCGCACCCTTATAGCTATCGAGACGCAACCACCATAGTGCATGAATGGAGACTTGGGGCTACTACCACATACAAACACCATTCATGTGTGATGTGTAGTTTTGGCTGAAAAGTGAAATATAGGGACACACACGTCCATTTTTATATATATATATAAATGCATATTGGATATAAATGGATATAAATATATTTCACTTTTCATTATCTATTATGTTTCATTATCTATCTATAATGAAACACTGATTACAACTAAAACTGTTATTCAACAGTTTATCACTTGTCCAATGTTTACCTAACCATGATTTCAACTGAATGAACTATTTAACCTATTTATAATAGTTACTGCTTGAACTGTAATC